TGTATTTTCGCGAGTGCTCCCGGCAATCTTACTTCGGCGTCTGGGTCACCCTTTATAGTTACCGTGTGACCCAACCTTCCACTGCAGTTAAGCTTATTCAGAGAAATAAACCACAATTATACGCGGAAGAACTGGCACCGCCTCGGAGCTGGACACCGTGGGTGACCGGCCCCTCCTGGAAAAGCCCCCGGCGTGGGCTTTGTGGCTGTGGTTCCCCGCTTCCACCCGCCAGACTGCACCCCTTACACTCGGTGACAGTGGCAGAGCTCTGGACAATCACCAGTGTGACTGGTCCTCTGCGGGACCTCAGCCGGCGGGGGGCGGGGAGGGGGTTCGTTCCTGACACAGGCCTGGGGGGTCAGCCGGCCGGGGGGGGGCTTCCCGACACAGGCCTGGGGGGCTCAGCCGGCCGGGGGGGCTTCCTGACACAGGCACGAGGGCCCGCTTTGTCCCTCCAAGTCACATCCACGGAGCACACTCCTCCGTGGTTTTTCTCCCGAGTTGGCTGATGCGCTTCTGCTGTGGCCAAGGACTGTTGTAGACATCAAAACTGCAGCTGGTTGAGGATAAGGTCTGGGGAAGGGGATTTCACAACAGCTCCCAGCTGATCTAATGAAAGTCCATTTTTAGACTGTCCAAATCAGCGGTTTCAAGTCCGGAACAACTACTCAGAAGATTGCATTTTTGAGGACCCAGAAGGGACAGGTGTCCTTTTACAAAGGTGATAGCAACACAGGAAGTGGAGCTGTGGCCCTGGAACGGGGAGCTGCGCCCAAACCTCTCAAGCTATCTGAATTATTTGAAACACAGCAAACATCTAAACCATCTGGCCAGGTTTCCCAGCAGGTTTGAGACACGGGGGCCATGTGGACTGTGTATGTGGTTGGTCATTGAAAAAGAAAAGACAGCCATAGCAGCCATGTTCGTGTGGGCTTGAGGGCTGGCCTCTAAGGCCCCTGACCATCCCACCCCCACCTCCCACAGGAGCCAGAGCCCCTACCCCCAGTCACTGTAACTGCTTACCGCTTTGTTGGTGAAACCACTCCTCTCTCTACAAGCCTGGACACTGGCTTTAGGTATGTGCAGGCTCATGCCCAGGCCATGTTCTGCCCCCGAGGAGTGACTCATGTCCTCCAGGTCCTGTGGAACCATTTGGGGAGAATTTCTCTATGAAGAATTTGGCCAAGCCCAGCTCAGCCTCAGCCATGGTCCCAGGCTGCTTGGACCTCCTGTTCCTTCTGCCACCAAATACAGATCTCCATGTGAAGTTTTTGTCTTGTGTGCATGTGTGTGCACACACGTGTGCATGCGTGTTGTTTTGGGCAGTACTGGAATTTAAATTCAAAATCTTAAGCTTGCTAGGCAGCTGCTCTACCACGTAAGCCATACCGAAGCCCCAATTGGCTTTTAGTAATATTTCTCAAAGAAGCCCTGATACCAATCTGAGCAGAAGGGATTAGAATCAAGCCTCATTTTAGTCCACATTTTAATGTCAGATGGCTGGGGCATCAGACACCGGGATGCAAGGTGGGATGGGTGAGGAGAGGGAGGGAATATTTTTGTCAACCAGCTCCTGCTCCAAGGCAGATCTAAACCACAGAAGCAACACACTCTCAGCTCATGTTTTTATTATTACATTATTTTTACATCATTGAGACCAGCATTTCAGTACTAAAATGAGAAACTTTAATGACTTAAAAATGACTAGGCAGCTGGGCACCAGTGGCTCATACCTGTAATCCTAACTACTGAGATCTGAGGATCCCAATTCAAAGCTAGCCCAGGCAGGAAAGGCTGTGAAATTCTTATCTCCAATACACTACCAGAAAAACGGAAGTGGCACTGTGGCTTAAGTGGTAGAGGGCTTGCCTTGAGCTGAAGAGCTCAGGGACAGTGCCCAGGCCCAGATTTCAAGCCCCATGACCGATTTAAAAAAAAAAAAAAAGATTGGGTAACATTTTGTAATCTAAAACTGACTAGAAAGAAATGATGAAAATTATGAGAGGGGTGAGCAGCAAGGGGATATGGGGAATTTGGAGTTGCTGTACAATTCTTCCACACTACATTCTCCTGCCTCAAATAATTGTTATACTAAGACACTTCTAGTTATTTGTTGTAGTTCAGGGAGTTTTGTTGTTGTTTGGGGTTCTTTTTTTATTTTTTGGGTCCGGCTGTGGGGCCTGAACTCTGGGCCTGGGCACTGTCCCTCAGCTTTTCAGCTCAAGGCTAGCGCTCTACCACTTGAGCCACAGCGTCACTCCCGGCTTTTTTTTTTCTGCTTATGTGGTGCTGAGGAATCGAACCCAGGGCCTCATGAGTGCAAGGCGCTTTACCACTGAACCACCTTCCCAGCCGCCTGAAATCAATTTCAATTCTGTCATGACATCTGGAGTTGGAGGTGACATACACAAACATAGGTGACACACACAAACAGTGTGCATATTTTTAGTGTATACATGAAATGTTTAACTTAAGTAATAGCTTTGAAATTGAATTTTTTTAAAGTTACTGGGCTACATGTGGTAGAACATAGCTGTAATCCTAGCTACTCAAGAGGCTGAGAAGCCAGGCACCAAAGGCTCACACCTGTCATCCTAACTATTCAGGAGGCTGAGATCTGCAGATGGTGCTTCAAAGCCAGCCCAGGCAGGAAAATCTGTGAGACTCTTATCTCAAATTGACTACCAGAAAACCAGAAGTTGCACTGTGGCTCAAGTGGTAGACTGCTCGCCTTGAGCAAGAAGCAGCTCAGGGACAGTGCCTAGGCCCTGAGTTCAAGCCCTAGGTCTGGCAACAACAACAACAAAAACCCAAGGAATGAAAGGAAGGAAGGAGCTGGGTGCTGGTGGCTCACACCCATTATCTTAAATACTCAAGAGGCTGAGATCTGAGGATCAACATTTGAAGCCAGCCTTGGCAGAAAAATGCAACAGAATCTTTTTTTTTGGGGGGGGGGTTGGTCGTGGGGCCTGAACTCTGGGCCTGGGCGCTGTCCCTCAGCTCTTCAGCTCTCAGGGCTAGCGCTCTACCATTTGAGCCACAGTGCCACTTCCAGCTTTTTTTTTTTCTGCTTCTATGGTGCTGAGGAGTCAAACCCACGGCCTCATGCATGCAAGGCAAGTGCTCTACCACTGAGCCACCTTCCCAGCCCCGTTTGGGGTTCTTTTTGTGTATGTGTGGAGGGAAGTACTGGGATTTGAATTCGGGGCCTGGGCTCTATCCTTTTTCACTGAAGGCTGGTGCTCTACCTCTTGAGCCACAGATACACTTCCAGCTTTTTTTTGTGGTTAATTGGAATAAGAGTCTCATGGACTTTCCTGCTTAAGCTGGCTTTGAACCATGAGCCTCAGATCTCAGCCTCCACAGCAGCTAGGATTACAGGTGTGAACTGCTGGTGCCCAGCACATATCTGCTTTGAGAACAAATGTTTTGTGACTGATCCAAGTGCTGCGGGCTGCTTGCACTCTCGTGGCCTCTAACACTTTCTGCCTTTGCGGCAAAGGGTAACTAAAATGAGTTCTCACCAGTTTTGTTTCCAAATCGTGCCTTTCCATGTTCTTGGGTATCCCTGTGGTTTACACGGCTTGCCTCTCTAGCAAATGCAGCATAAAGGTTTTGCTGTAATGGCACAGCTCAAATAAGCCCAGGTTCTCTACTTGCAGTGTGTTTTTTTTCTTTTTTCTTTTTCTTTTTTTGGTCGGTCGTGGGGCCTGAACTCGGGGCCTGGGCACTGTTCCTCAGCTCTTCAGCTCTAAGGCTAGCACTCTACCACTTGAGCCACAGTGCTACTTCTGGCTTTTTCTGCTTATGTGGTACTGAGGAATTGAACCCAGGGCCTCATGCATGCAAGGCAAGCACTCTACCACTGAGCTGCCTTTCCAGCCCTGGCGGTGTGCTTTTCTGTAGGCCGGGAAAATGGGAATGTTCTCTGCATTCCTCACTACTCTCCCCTCAGCACTGCAATTCAGTCTCATCTTTTTCCACAGCATCAGCACACTGGGATGATGATCTCGACACTCCAACTCGCTTCACATGGCTTATATTTCATTGACTACCTGCCCACTTTTCCATAGTTGTCCCAAGAAGTTTCACACACATTGCTTAAAAAATTATGCTTCTTGGGGCTGGGAAGGTGGCTCAGCAGTAGAGCGCTTGCCTAGCATGCACGAAGCCCTGGGTTTGATTCCTCAGGGTCACATACACAGAAAAAGCCAGAAGTGGTGCTTGTGGCTCAAATGGTAGAGCGCTAGCCTTAGTACAAGAGGCTCAGTGCCCAGGCCCTGAGTTCAAACCCCAGGACTGGCAAAACAAAAACAAATTTGTTCTACTTGGATCATAAAAAGAATGTGTTCATTATATTTTGGAAAGTACACAAAAATTTGAAGGGAAAGCTCCCCTTCAATCTCACCGCATGGAATTCTCTGACTTCTTAGGGATGTGAAACACACATCTATTAGGCAAACTCATTACTTGAGATACTCATTGCTGGAGAGGAGAGGGGCAACATGATGCCCTGTGGCATTACATACTCCTACATAAAAATACATAGAAGGCAGGTTCCTTAACATGAGGATGGTGCCAAAAATAAACAGTTATGCACCAGGGGACAGAGTGAAGAACAGACAGGATGCAAGGGAGGAGGGAACAATGTAAACCCCTTGTTCCTGGTCAGGAGGACTTAGAATTGGAGAGAATTCTGATTCAGTGCAGATGAAATCCACAACCAGCAAGGCACTTGTTCACAGCGCCAGCTCAATGTGTGGGCACAGCTGTTTCAGACTCTGAAAGCTCTTCTCATCACCAAATTCTTCGTAGCAGAAACTGA